CCCCCCCCCCATCCCCTGCAGCCTCCAAGCCCCGTGATGGTCCTTCTCGGGATCCCCCAAGGCGAGGAGGGCACTCACAGAGGGGCCGGGAAGACCAGGGAAGCCTCTTTCTCCTCGCTGACCGGGCAGGCCAACCACGCCACGCTGTCCAGCAATGCCTTGAGGTCCGGGAGTGCCGGGAGCACCCTGCGGGAGGGCGATGAAGGTGAGGCGCCTTGCAGGGCCCCGGGAGCGCGGCCCCCACCCCGGGGCCCCTCCGGAGCACTTACAGCAGGTCCGTCAGCACCAGGAGATCCTTTCTCACCAGCAGGGCCGGGGGGACCAGGGGGACCGACTTCCCCGGGACGCCCAGCGGGGCCAGTCTCACCGCGGGGGCCTTTGCCGCCTTCTTTGCCGACAGGGCCGGGAGGGCCAGGGGGTCCAGCGTTTCCCTGGACGGGGAGAAGAGGGGCCGTCAGGTTCCGGTGGATTCCGGAGCGCCGCTGAGGCCTGAGATGGGCCCGCCACCCTCCCGACAGCCTGTCCCCCACTCCCCGAGCAATGGAGTCACCTCCACAGATACTTACAGAGGGGCCGGGAGGACCGACTCGGCCAGCAGCACCAGGGAAACCAGTAGCACCCTGGCAGGAGAGGACAAAGGAGTCAGGAGGACAGCAGCCCCCTCACCTGGCGCAGCACCCCCATCTCTGAACCCAGGTTGGAGTGACAGCCCCAGCGGAGGCACCGAGGGCGATACTCACAGGGGGACCGGCACTGCCTCGAGCACCTTTGGGTCCAGGAGCACCAACGTTGCCCTGTAGGAGAGCACAGAGCCATGAAGACTGGGCCAGGCCCAGACCCAGGCCCAGGCCCGCCTGCGGCTCGGGGCTCAGAGGGTGGGACACTCACGATGGGGCCGGGGGGTCCAGTGGGGCCAGCGGGACCAGGGGGACCAGCATCGCCTTTAGCACCAGCGTCTCCGGGCTCGCCTTTAGCACCAGGTTGGCCATCAGCACCCTGGGGGAGGAAGGGGTGTGGTGAGCGGAGGAGGGGGATGGGGCAGCGTGGGGAACTGGGCGGTTCCGCGGGGCTGGGGAAGGGCGGTAAGTCCAGGCACAAAGATGCTTGAACGGGACACTGTCCCCTCTCCACGCCTCTGTCCTTATGCAGTCACCCGAGGTCCCGGGTCCCAGGCGGTGATAGGAAACGATGGGGGTCTTGGTACTCACAGGGGGGCCAGCGAAGCCAGCAGGGCCGGGGGGACCAGGCTCACCACGGTCTCCCTAGAAGAAAAGGAGGCGGACTGAGAGGGGCTCTGACCTGGGGGAGGCGGGGTGGACGCGCAGGCAGGAGGGGAAGCGGGGCCCTGAGGAGCATGCCCCAGGGCCCAGAGCAGGTGAGAGTGAAGGCGGACAAGGCACAGAAAGAGGGCCGGGAAGGGTGAAGCAGACGGGCGGGCGGCGTGTGGGTCTTCGGTACTTACGGGGGCGCCACGAGCTCCAGTGGGACCAGCGGGGCCGCTGGGACCAGCTTCACCCTGAGAGGGAGGGACAAGAGGCGCAGGTCAGCTGCGCGCTCTAAGCGCCCCCAGCAGATGACCCCGGGAGAGTCTCCCCTCCTTTCTGGAACCTCCCACCTTCAGGTCACCAGCTCAGAATGGCAGGACCTCCCTCCCCCAGGCCGGAATCACGCCCAGGTTCGCCGGAGAAGCTGTGTGTTAGGGAAGATGGTGGGGCCACCTCACCTTGTCACCGGGGGCACCAGCGGGGCCAGGAGGACCAATGGGGCCAGTCAGGCCACGGACACCATCTTTGCCAGGAGAACCATCAGCACCTTTGGGACCGGCATCGCCCTAAAGACACAGGGAAGGCCTGAGACTTCCGGCGGGGGCAGGGAGGTGACCCATAGCATCCTGCTACCGGCTTCCACTCCTCCCCAGCTCTGCCCTGCCCCGACCTGTGCTCGGGACTCGAGATCTTTCAGGGGAGCCTGGTGGAACCTAGGTTAAGAGGCCCATGCCTTGTGTGGAGGGATGAATAAGGGATTCCCCCATCCAGGAGGCCACCCTGCTTCCCGTTACCGTGGTAATTCAGGGGGAGGGAAGAGCCTGCATAGCTGGTGGAGGATTTATCAGTGAAGAGGCCAGAAGGGAAGAAGGGAGGATTAAGGGAAGAGGGAAAGACCCCAGGGAGGGTAAAGAGGGAGGCTGAAGCATCCAAAGTAGAGGGAGACAGAGATGGGAACCCTACATGGATCAGGGGAGGAGGTGTGGGACTGTGGGACTTACTCTGTCACCCTTAGGGCCAGGAAGGCCAGCTGCACCTCGTTCACCAGGCATTCCCTGAAGGCCAGGAGCGCCCTGGCTACCGGGGGCTCCGGGGGCACCAGCATCACCCTAGGTGACAACCGAGAGGACGGCCATGAGCTTTGGGGTCCCAGGAGTGGGTCACAGCCCCGAGCGCCCTCGTGAGATCTCCCAGGCTTGCTTCCGAGGATAAAGATGAGCCGGCTAAGAAGAGGAAAGGCTCGGGGCGCCTGGGTGGCGCAGTCGGTTAAGCGTCCGACTTCAGCCAGGTCACGATCTCGCGGTCCGTGAGTTCGAGCCCCGCGTCAGGCGCTGGGCTGATGGCTCAGAGCCTGGAGCCTGTTTCCGATTCTGTGTCTCCCTCTCTCTCTGCCCCTCCCCCGTTCATGCTCTGTCTCTCTCTGTCCCAAAAATAAATAAAC